GAACATTTATGATTCTCTGAGCTTAGCAACTCGATCTGCGAATTTTGCCTGTGACTTCATGCTTGTGACCAGTTTACATTGTTGTTGAGAATGTTTAAACAGGCGCAGATTGAGGTTGATCCAACGTTGTCTCTGCCTTGGAAATCAGGTGTATGAATAGGATTGGTGAATGTGATGTCACCATATGTTGCTCTGTGAACCTGAACTCAAAGTTTGAAAAAAAATTTCTTGTTATTATCATTCATGTTCATGATATTGAAGCCAGAGCTCTCTATTAAAGTTTTCAAGTTGCCTCTAGAGTTATAAGATTTGAATTCACATTTGTAAAAGTCACAGCATAATACCTCGTATGCTGTTAAATGGCCCAGTCCCTCTTCTCCACTCTCCCACCCCAACGACCTTTGATTTTTTTGTGTTTACTTCCTTTATAGTTTCTTCTGGAAGCCTCAAAAGATATTCATCCATAGCGAGATATGCTATCTGCATAGAATGTTTGGAGACCACTGGAGAAGTAGAACACATTGGTCTCTATTCTCAGGGCCTTTTTATAAACCTAGTTAGGTGGATATACACACGGGAATATGTGAAAATTTAATCAAAGCCCATATCAACTTATATTGGGTAGTGGGAGATTCCTGATTGTTAGGTTTTTGAGGGCAGAAACTGTCTTGTTCATCTTTGTATGTTCCACTCCCAGGACAGAACTTGGTACAGGTGGGTTTCAATGAATGTTGGTTGACTGAATGATCCCTTTATGCCCCTTACTGTTTTGTTTTGGTTACAGTCTGTAACTTTTACAAAGTCCAGTGAACCTTTATTGTTCTACATCCTCTTCAACGCTTGGTACTTTTAGACTTTTAAACTGTAGCTAGTCTGGAGGGTGTGGTTTTAATTTGCATTTCCCTGATGACTACTGAAGTTAAGGATTTTTTCATGTTAATCGGAAAATTGTATTTCTTGTTTTACAATGTGTTTGTTCAAGTCTCTTGCCCATGTTTTTACTGGGTTTTCTTTTTTTGTATCTTTTGTATGAGTTCTTTATATATTCTATGTACGGGTCCTTTGTTATATGTATTTCAAGTATTGTCGCTCCCCTGGTTTGCCTTTTACTTTCTTGAGGACATCTTTAGATGAACAGAAGTTCTTACATTACCACTGTCTAATTTATCAACGGTTAATGCTTTTTGTTTTCTGCCTTTGAAATCTTTCCCTACCCCAGTGAAATGCAGATATTCTCTTATAGTTACCTTCTAAAAGAAGGTAACTTCTTTTTGTGTATGATGTGTGGTAAGAGTCAAGTTATTTCCCCCACACTTACCTACTTGTTTCAACAGTATTTATTGCAAAGACCATCCTTTCTCCACTTCTCTCCAGTCATAAATCAAGCATCTGTCTGGGATTTTCTTTTTTATTCCACTAGTCTATTTGTCTGTTCTGGCGCCAATCCCACACTGTCTTAATTACTGTAGCTTTATATTAAGTCATGATATCCAGTAGGGCAAGTCTGCTCACCTTGTTCGTTTTCTTCAAGAGTGTGTTGGCTATTCCTGACCCCTCGCAATTCCACATATGTTTAGAATCAGCCTGTCAAATTACTTATATGCATATGCATGCACATGCACACACTTTTGGGATTTGGAGTCCATTGACTAAAAATTAATTTGGGAGAAATGACATCTTCACAAAACTAAGTCTTCTGATCTATGAACATTTACATATCCCTCCATTTTTTAAAGTCTTTTTAAAGTTCTCTTGGTAGTTTCTTATTCTTTTCTGTGTAAGGGTCTTACACAATTTTTGTTAGAATTATTCCTAGGTATTTGAAATTTTTTATTCAATTATAAAGTATATCCTTTAAAAAATTCCATCTTATAACTTTTTGCTTGTATGAAAATATGATTAGTTTTTGTACATTGATGTATTTCCAGCAACTTTGCTAATTCTAATAATTTTTCAGACTTTTATGTAAATAGTCATGTCCAAGAATGTTGATAATTTTGTTTCTTCCTTTCCAATCTTTATGTTTTTGTTTCTATTTTTTGCCGTACTGCACTGGCGAGGCTTTCCAGTACGATGTGTGTAGAAGTAGCAGCAGCAGTGGGTGTTCTTGCCTTGTTCTTAATCTCCAGGGGACAACCTCATCCCTTCAGCATTAGATGTGATGTTTCCTCTAGATATTTTCTAGATATTCATTATCAGAATAAGAAAATTCCTTTCTATTCCTATTTTGCTAAGAATAAAAAAAATTATAAATGATTTTGGGTTATAAGTACTTTTTCTACATTTTTTAGATGATTTGATTTCCTCCTGTATTCTGTTAATATGATAAAACTTTGATTTTCTAGTATTAAACTATCTTTACATTCCAGAATAAAACCAACTTGGTCATGATATGTTTTTTATTGTATATATGTTACCATTTTTGGCTTATTAATATCTTGTTTAGGATTTGTTGCATCTATGTTAATGAATGAGAATGGGCTATAATTTACCTTTCTCATTATATCCTTAAGTTTTAGTATCAGTAATATGCTAACCATATATGTAAAGTGAATTGGAAAGTGTTCTATCTTTTTTTCTTTTCTGGAATAGTTGGTGTAAGACTGATATATCTTCTTTAAAAGTTTGGTAAAATTTACTATTAAAGGCATTTGTACCTGGAGTTTTCTTTGTGCAAAGGTTTTTAAATTAGAAATTTGATTTATTTGATAATTATAAGACCACTTACATTTTGAAATTTCTTTTTATATAAGTTTTTGCATATTGTGTTTTTCTAGGAATTTGTCTATTTGATTAAAATTTTTAAATTTCTACCTTTTAAATCTCTATAGTGATGTCTCTCTTTTCCTAGAGGCCTTTTTGTTTTCTTTTGATTTTTTGCCTTCTCTCTCTTTTCTCTAGTCTTCCAAGGAGTCTACCAATTAGTCTTTTGGCTTTGTTGTTCTTTTCTATTGTATGTCTGTTTTTTATTTCATGAATTTTTATTCTTTATTTTTGACTTTCCTTGAATTTATATTTTATTTTTTTCTAATTTCTTGAGATGGATGCTTACTTCACTAATTTTTAATCATTATTTTTAAATAGCTATATTTAAAACCATAACTTTTCTTCTAAGCGCTGCTTTAGCTCTTTTTATGGACTAAAAGTTTGTGTTCTCCCCTAAAGTCATATATTGAAACCCCAACTCCCAATTTGGTGGTATTTGGAGATGGAGCCTTTGGGAGGTTTAGGTTTAGATGAGGTCATGAGTGTGGGGTCCCCATGATGTGATTAGTGCCCTTATAAGAAGAGACCACAGAACTTACTTTCTCTCTCTCCCTGCCACGTGAGGATACAGTAAGAAGGCAAATCAGTAAGAGGGTCCTCACCAGACAGCAAATATGCTAGCATCTTGATCTTGGACTTCCCAGCTTCCAGAACTGTGAGAAATAAATGTTAGTTCTTTAAGCCTCTCAGGCTATGGTATTTGCTATAGCAGTCTGAACTAATTAAGATGGCTCTTCATCCTACAAATTTTGATTTATAGAATTTTCATTGTCATAAACTTCAACATATATTCATTTTTGACTGTGATTTTTCTTCTTGACCAATGAAGAATTTAGAAATTTATTTATTCCTTTTTTTTTCTCAATATGTATTTCTTAATTTTCAAACACATGGGAATTTGCTAGTTATTTTTTTAATTAAGTTTTTTTTTCTTTTTTAGAGCAGTTTAAGATTCACAGCAAAATTGATAGGTACAGTGATTTCCCATATAACCATTTCCCCCACACATACATAGCCTTCCCCACTAACATCTCCACCTAAGTGGCATGTTTGTTACAACTGATGGACCTACATTGATACATCATCATCACCCAAAGTCCATAGTTTACATTATGGTTCACTCTTGGTATTGTACATTCTATGAGTTTGGACAAATGTATAATGGCATGTATCCATCATTATGGTATCATACAAAGTGTTTTTACTGTCCTAAAAATCCTCTGTGCTTGACCTATTCATGTCTTACCCCTGCTACTCCCTGGAAACCACTGATCTTTTTACTATCTCCATAGTTTTGCCTTTTCCGGAATGTCATATAGTTGGAATCATAGAGTATGTAGCCTTTTCAGATTGGCTTCTTTCACTTAGTAATGTGCATTTAAGATTTCTCCATGTCTTTTCATGGCTTAATAGCTCATTTCTTTTTAGTGCTGAAGAATATTTCATTGTCTTGCTAGTTCATCTGTTCACCTATGAAGTACATCTTGGTTGCCTCCAAGTTTTTGCAATTATGTATAGCTGCCATAAACCTGTGCAGGTTTTTGTGTGGACATAAGTTTTCAACTCTTGGGTAAATACCAAAGAGCGCAATTGCTGGATTATATGGCAAGATATGTTTAGTTTTGTAAGAAACCACCAAACTGTCCAAGTGGCTGTACCATTTTGCACTCCCACCAGCAGTGAATTGGAGTCCCTGTTGCTCCACATCCTTGCCAGCACTTAGTGTTGTCAGTGTTCTGGATTTTCTAAGAGGTGTGTAGTGGTATCTTATTGTTGTTTTAATTTGCATTTTCCTGATGACATATGATGCAGAGCATCTTTTCATATGCTTATTTGCCATCTGTATATCTTCTTTGGTGAAGTGTCTGTTAAAGTCTTTGACTCATTTTTTTGATTGGGTTGTTTGCTTTCTTAATGTTGAGTTTTAAGAATTCTTTGTGTATTTTGGATAACAGTCCTTTATTAGATTTGTCTTTTGCAAATATTTTCTCCCAGTCTGTGGCTTATCTTCTCATTCTCTTGACAGTGTCTTTTGCAGAGCAGAAGTTTTTAATTTTAATCAAGTCCAACTTATCAATTCTTTCTTTCATGGATTGTGCCTTTGGTGTTTTATCTAAAAAGTCATTGCCATACCCAAGATCATCTAGATTTTCTCCTATTTTCTCTTCTAGGAGTTTTATAGTTTTGTGTTTTACATTAGGTCTGTGATCCATTTTCAGTTATTTTTTGTGAAGGATGTAAGGTCTGTGTCCAGATTAATTTTTTTGCATATGGATGTCCAGTTGTTCCAGCATAGTTTGTTGAAAAGACTCTCTTTGCTCCGTTGTGTTGCCTTTGCTCCTTTGTCAAAGATCAGTTGACTATATGCAGGTCTATTTCTGGGCTCTCTATTCTGTTTCATTGGTCTATTTATCTATTCTCTTGCCAATACCACATTGTCGTGATTACTGTAGTTTTATAGTAAGTCTTGTAGTCGGGTAGTGTAAGTCTTCAAACTTTGTTCTCCTCCTTCAATATTGTGTTGACTACTCTGGGTCTTTTGTCTGTCCATATAAACTTTAGAATCAGTTTGTTGATATCCACAAAATGACTTGCTGGGATTTTGATTCAGATTGCATTGAATCTATAGATCAAGTTGGGAAGAACTGACATCTTGACGATATTGAGTCTTCCTATCCATGTACACAGAATATCTCTCCAATTATTTTGTTCTAGTTATCTTTTAAAACATTGATTTGTAGACTAATTATATGGTGGTAAGAGATATATAATTTCCACTCTTTGAAATTTAGGACTTGCTTTGTGGCTTTGTATTTGGTCAGTTTTTATGAATGTTCCATGAATGCTTGAAAATTATGCATATTCTGCAGTTTTGGGGAGACAACATCTAATTATGTTTCATTAGGCAGGTTCGTTATTGTTCTTTTTAAATCTTTCATATACTTACTGAATTTTTTTGACTGCTTTTTGAATTAGTTACTGAGAGAAATATCTTGAAATCTCCCACTATGGTTGTGAATTAACTTATTTCTCCTTGTATTCTGTCAGTTTTTGCCTCATGTATTTTGAGGCCATGTTTTAAATGCACAATAGAATTGTTATAAATTTTGTTAAATTGACTTTTTTTTCTTTTTTTTTGATGAGGGAGATTGGCCCTGAGCTAACATCTGTTACCAATCTTCCTCTTTTTGCTTAAGGAAGATTACCCTTGAGCTAACATCTGTGCCCATCTTCCTCTATTTTGTATGTGGGACGCCATCACAGCATGGCTTGATGAGTGATGTGTAGGTCCACACCCTGGATCCAAACCCGCAAACCCCAGGCCACTGAAGCATAGCATACGAACTTAACCACTATGCCACGGGGCCAGCCTTGGTAAATTGACATTTTGATCATTATGAAATGTAACTCTTTACCTTTACTAATGCTTTTTTCCTTAAAGTATATTCTATATGTTATCATGAAAGACATCTTAGCTTTCTTTGATTAGGTTTGTGTGGTAGTTGTTTCTCATTCTTCGGTAGTAATCTTTCTGTGTTCTTGTGGTTTAAATATATCTTATAAACAATACATCTAGTTGACATTTTTTAGTAGCAGATTTATTAAGATATGATTCACATACCGTACAATTCATCCATTTAAATTGTACAATTCAATGGTTTTTAGTATATTTACTGAGTTGTGCAACCATTACCACATCAATTTTAGAATATTTTCATCACCCCCATAAAGAAACTTGTATCTTTTGGCAGTCATCCCACAATCACTTTGCCTCCATAGATTTTCCTATTCTGGACGTTTCATATATAGAGAATCATACAATATGTGGTCTTTTGTGACTGGTTTCTTGCACTTAGCATGATGTTTTCAAGGTTCATCCATGTAGTAGCATATATCAGTACTTATTCCTTTCTATGGCTGAATTAGATGGAGTTCTTTATATATTCTGGATATTAACCGCTTGTCAGAGACACAGAAATTTTAAATTTTGATGTAGTCTAATTTATCTGTTTTTCCTTTTGTTGCCTCTGCTTTTGGTGTCATATTCAAGAAATCATTGCTAACTCCAATGTGTGAAGCTTTCCCTCTATGTTTTCTTCTAAAGATTTTATAGTTTTAGGTCTCATGCTTAGGTCTTTGATCCATTTTGAGTTAATTTTTGTATATGGTGTAAAGTAAGGGTCCAACTTCATTCTTTTGCATGTGGATATTCAGTTTTCCCAACATCATTCGTTGAAAAGACTGTCCTTTCCCCACTGAATGGTCTTGACACTCTTGTTGAAAATCATTTGGCCACATATGTAGGGGTTTATTTCTGGGCTCCCTATTTTATTTTGTTGGTTTATATGTCTGTCCTTATGCTTGTACCACACTGTTTTGATTACTGTAGCTTTGTAGTAAGTTTTGAAATCAAGATGTGTAAGACCTTTGACTTTGCTCTTTTTTCAAAATTGTTTTGGCTATTCAGAGTCCTTTGAGATTCCCTATGAATTTGGGATGAATTTTTCTATTTCTGCAAAAAAAGGTCATTGGGATTTTGATAGGCATTGTATCAAATCTTGGATCCCTTGGGGTAGTATTGACATCTTAATATTTTGTCTTCCAGCCCATGAACATGAGATGTTTTGCCGTTTATTGGTGTTTTCGGTAATTTCTTTCGGCATTGTTTTGTGGTCTTCAGTGTACAAGTCTTTCATCTCCATAGTTAAGTTTATTCCTAAATATATATTTTTTGATGTTATTGTAGAAAGTTTTTTCTTAATTTCCTTTTTGGTTTGTTCATTATTAGCATATAGAAACCCAATTGATTTTGTGTGTTTGATTTTGTATCCTGTAACTTTTCTGAATTCATTTATTCAAAAATATTTTTTGTGGAATCTTTAGGATTTTCTACATATAAGATCATGTTGTCTGTGAACAGAGATGATTTAACTTCTTCCTTTCCGAATTGGATCCCTTTTATTTCTTTTTCTTGCCTAATTCCTCTGGCTAGGACCGCTAGTACTGTGTTGAATAGAGAAGTGAAGTGGGAATTCTTGTCTTGTTCCTGATCCTAGAGGAAAAGCTTTCAGTCATTTGTCATTGAGTATGATGTTATCTATGGGCTTTTCTTATGTATACACAGGTGCTTTTAAATGTGTTAATCTCCCTAAGAGTCTCACCCCTGCTTCTTCTCAGGGCCTTTGATGTTCTGTTGTATTCCTCTGCCTGTAATCTCTTGTCTCCAAGCTCCCATGGGTCTGCAGCTCCCCTGCAGTTTTCTTGTGCCATTACACCTGCCACTGCTTTCAGCAGCCTCCACCCTAATATCCAAATTATGTCACTTCCTGTCTGAGCCCCTAGTCAGACAAAACAGAAATCAGTCCCTTGGGCAGCCCCCAGTCATGCGAGAACATTGCAAACAAGTTCCATTCTTTTCTTTCTGTCCCGACGAAGGAACAAGGCATTGGGTGGCTTCCTCCTAATTGGGCCAGGGAGGGGGTCAGCAAGGGTGTGCAAAAACACCGTGAAATTTCCCACTGCTTTTAGTGTTACTTTTTCATAATTGGGCCTTTGCTTGGTTGCTGCAGATCCCTGACTGGCTTCTTGAGCTCCCATGACACTATTTCTAGTAAATCTGTTGCTGTTGACTTGATGTTCCAGTGGAGGAAGGGGGGCCTGGAGCTTCTGCCATCTTGCTGACATCACCATCAGATAGCTCTAAAAAGTTTCATTTTTTTAAACTTTTGCATTTAGGTCTATGACCCAATTTGAATTGGATTTTGTATGATTCCCTGGTTTTGGATTATAACTCCACCATGTTCTTGCTATGTGGCTTGGAAAAATTGCTTAACCTTTCTCTCCCTCAGTTTCTTCATCAGTAAGATGAGGGACAAAATAGTATCTACCTCATAGAGTTATTGTGAGGCTTATTTATATATATGTAAAGGACTCGGAAAAGTGACTGGGAAATAGTACACTCTCAATAAGTGCTTTTGCTATGAATATTTTTATATCCTTTTGGTCTGGTGATCCACTTGTGCTGGGAAGCTCAGAGGGGACTGACCTAGTTAAGTCTGAGAAAAGGCCCAACTCTACCACTTAGCCTAACTTGAAGAGCCTGATGGCTGGCTGGGAGTACTGAGAAGGGCAGGCTCGAGTTTGAACAGTGGATTCTGTTGTGCTGAATAAATGTGAGTTTTCTTTCTTTTCCATTTCCTTATTTGTACCAGTGTGGCAGTTTGAACACAAACTGTAAGTATTCCCTGGAAGTATTGTTATTGATCTAATCATTAGCTCAATTTATGGAAACCTCCAAAGTCTTCTTTGTTTATGTATTTCCTGAGGGCAAGGCTCATGGCTTTATTTAACATTTCCTGGAACACAGATGGGTCTCTGTACTCACTTCCCCCAAGAGTTTTGATCAAAACATGAGCCAGTGTTTTGGATTAAACTTTGGAACGCTAGAGGCCAGAAGTGAGTTTGGAGGAGAGTTGATTCATTTATATTGGTCAGTTCTTCCTGTGTTTGTGTGTGTTTAATTAAAAAATTTTCTGGAAAATTTTTAAAATACAGAAATGAATATAACAAGGACATAACAATCATCCTTGTAGTCATCAGCTAAATTGAACAAATTTTAACTTTTTGCTATATTTGTCTCAACCCATTCTTCCCCAGAAGTAAATACTATTCTGAAGTTAGTGTGTATTCTTTTGTCCAAGTTTATATTCTTTTATCAAATATGTGTGTATTAAAAATAATATATAGTATTTTGTTCTTAAATTTAATATATAATAATGTGTTTCGTTTTTTCTATTTGCTTTTTCACTCATCGTTATTTTCAAAGATTTATTCATGTTGATACATGGATCATTGTAGCTCTTTCATTTTCAACTGTTGCATAGAATTCCATTCTCTGGATATACTACAATTTATTTCTTCACTCCCTTACTGATGGACATGCGCTGTATAGATAGCATATAATTTCCATCTACTGTACTCTCTTAGTTTCCTATGCATTTATTACTAACTTGTCTTCAAACATCCCCCACAATTGTTTAAATTTCCTCTCAAATGCAAATGCATCAAACTTTCTTAAAATTCATCTTGTTGGAGACATCTCTCCTGGAGCTTTCTGACCTGCTTTAATCTGGTCTAAGAGTGTTGTCATCTGAAATCTCACTTTTCTATCTTATTGTGGTTTTCTCTGCCTCTCTCCTATGGCAGGTTCTCTATTTCTGTGCCCCTCATCTCTGTGCCCATCCAGCCGTGCTCCATGTTCATGCAAAGAGCTGTAATGGAGGGATTAGAAGCATGAGGTTTAGAAGGAGACAGACCGAGGTTGAATCTTGGTCTATCATAATTATGAGAAAATTTATTACCTTCACTGTGCCTCAATTTCCTCTTTTATATGATAGACATAAAGCACCTTACAGGGTTGCTGGGAGGGTTAAGTGAAACGCTTTTTCAGTTATCAGATGTATGTATTGCAAATAATTTCTCCCAGGTTGTGCCATACTTTTCAATTTGTTTGTAGTAATTTGTGGTACATAGATATTTTATATTTTATTTGTAGTCAAATTTATCATCCTACCTGATTTGTATTTTATATGTTCTGCATAGGTAATCCTTCCCTACCCCAGCTCATGAAGATAGTCACTATAATTTCTTCTAAAAGTTTTAAAGTTTGGCTTTCACGTTAATCTACCTGAAATTGATCTCTGTTCGTGGGTTAAATACAGGGATCCACTTTTTTTTCATATGGCTAATGAATTGTCCTAAGGTCAAATATTGAATAGACCATCTTTTCCCACTTCAACTTGCAATGCCTACTTTTGTCAAATTAATATTCCACGTGTGCACATGTGTTTCTGTTCTCTTTATTATGCTCCCTTGGTCTAATACCACACAATCTTAATCACTCTAAATTTTTAATAAATCTTAATATCTTTAAAAGTTGCATTGGTTCATTTTAGTCTCTTTGCTCTTTCACAAAATTGCTGAACTCTCATATAACTTTACATCACAATTTGTATTTTCTCTTGGGGTTTGTAGACAATGATATAATATCAACGTAGATAGTGATATTAATTGTGAATGCTAGCAGTTTTGTTCCTCCTTACCAGTTCTTATACTTTATATTTATTTATTTATTTGTCTTATTTCACTAGCTAGGACAACCAGAACAGTGTGAAGAGAAGTGGTAATTGTGGACATCTTTGTCTTATCTCTGATTTTAGGGAGATGGTGCCTAATATTTCACCATGAAGTTTGATGTTTGCTATAGGTTTTTAGGAGATAGCCTTTATTAGGTTAAGGAAATTTCCTTTAATCCTTATTTGCTAAGAGATCTTCTTTTTGTATACATGGGATATGGTTTGCTAATATGTCAAGGGTCTTTACATCTCTGTTCATAAGTAAGATTGGTCCATAGCTTTTCTTTCTTCAACATTCTCTTTCTGGCTTTGGTATCAAATTAGCCTACCATCTAAAATGAATTTGAGAGTATTCCTTTTTTTTCTGTTATTTGGAACACTTAGTATAAAATTAGGACCATATGTCATTTCAACATTTGGCAGAACTTAGCCTTAAAACTTCCAGGGCCTTTTATTTAAGGGGGACATAAGTCATTATAAACTATTAATTCTATGTACTTAAAGGTTATAGATCAATGTAGGTTTTAAAAATTGTCTTAATTCAGTTTTGGTAATCTATATTCTTATATGAAACTGCCTATTTCATCTAAATTATATTTTTATATGAAATTGTCCTTTTCATCAATTTGAAAATTATCCATTTTCAAATTTATGGATATGAAGTTATTCATAGTATTCTCTTTGATGTTTAAAAAAATCTATTGTATCTGTATCTATTCTGTTGTGTCTGTGGTTATCACTTTTTGAAGTGATAGAAACAATGAAATCCCATTATTGTTTAATTTTCCTCTCTACTGTGGTACAGTTTACATAGCACTGGAATGATCTTTTTCTTAAAGGTTTGGTAGAATTCTGTGAAAACATCAGGGTTTGGTGCTTTTTGAGGAGGAGTTTGCCCTTTGACAACTTTATTTATTTTCATTATTGTGATTGGTCTTTTTAAACTTTCCTAAGATCAGTTTTGATAATTTTTATTTTCTTACAAAGTAACCTATTACATGCAGGTATCAAATTTACCTGCATATAGCTGGGAAAAGAAGTCTAGGTATGATTCTTTTAGTTATTCCATACTGGTTATTTCCCTATTCTCATTTTTTGTGTTATGTATTTGTGCTTTCTCCTATTTTTTCCTTGAATAGGTTAGCTAATAACTTATCTATTTATATTTGTTATTTTAAAAAGCTATTGCATTTATTAATTTTAATATTTTACTTTCTAATTAATACATTTCTAATATCTTTATTAAATTCTTACTTCTGTTTTTCTTATGTTTATTCTATTGTTCTTTTTCTAATATTTTGAGTTGGGTGCCATCTTACAGTCACAAAATGGTTGCTGGAGCGCTAGCCATCTTGTCTGAGTTGTAGGCAAGAAGAAAGGAAAGCAAGGGACAAAAGGGGAGCCCCTCTCAGCTGAGTCAGCTCCCTTTAAGGAGCTTTTCTAGATGCTTTATCCAATAACTTGGTTTACATTTCATTGGCTGTGCTTATCTCCAAAAGAGGCTGAGAAATGTGGGTCTTTAGCTGGGTGCATTGCCATTTGAACAGTACAGGGATCTGTCACTAATGTTGGAGATAATAGTATGGGTAGGTAATCTGTTGCAGATTTTTAATCTTTGAAGTTCAGTAACTTGCCTTTAACTTGGTGTGGACTGTACTGTGTTATTTCTTTCACTGGGATACAGTATTTCATCTCCAATCACCTTCCTCCTGACTTACAGGTTGTTCTTGTCCAGGATTTTGGTTCTGTCTTAAATTTTTAACACTACAAATTGGTTGTAGTTATTATTGTTTTACACAGTTGGTGTTTGTTTAGATTTTACCACATGCTTACATTATTGTTTGCTCACCATTCCTTTTTCCCATTCAGACTTTCCCACTGGAATCATTTTTATTCTTCCTGAGGTCCACCCTTTGAAGATCCTTCAGTGAAGTTCTGTGCATGGTAAAACCTGTCAGTTTTTGTTATCTAGAAGTGTCTTATTTCATCCTTATTATTGAAAGATAATTTTGCTGGGTCTAGAACTCTAGGCTGCCTGTTATTTTCTCTAAACACTTTGCAAGTATTATTCCAATGTCTTCTGGTCTGTATTACTGCTATTGAGAAGCCAGTTATCAATTTAATTGACAGTCCCTCATAGGTAATCTCTCTTTTTGGATGCTTTTAACATCTTCTGTTTGTCTTTTGTGTTCTGCAGTTTGACCATGATGTGTCCAGGTGTGCATTTCTTTTTACTTATCCAGCTCGGGAATTTTTTGGACTCCTTAATCTGTGGTTTTATGTGTTTTGTCAATTCTGGAAAATTCTCAGTTATTGTTTCTTCAATGTTGCCTTTCTCCCATTCTATCTATTCTTTCCTGCTATATTAAATGAGATATAGATTTGTACTGGATGTTCTTCCCTCATCCTACCTGGCTGTTAACTCCTTTTTCATCTCTTTGTTTCTAAGGAATTTACCTCTAAGTAGAGAAATTTCTTCAGCTCTTTCTTTCAGTTTTCTAATTATCTTTTCAGTTATGTCTAACCTTCTATTATGTCTATCCTTTGTATTTATAATTTCATTTATGTTTTTCATTTCTAAAATTTCTCTTTAATTATTTTTCAAATCAGACTGGCAAATTTTTTATATTCTCTTTTCCTTGATCGTGTTTTTAATTCCTCTGGGCTTTTCAGTTTCCCTATTTGAAAAATGGAGGCTGGGCTCCATGTCCTTTAAGGACACTTAAGCAACACAGTCCATAAACACTCCCTGCCTTCCTCTTGGATGGAGTGTGGCACACTGGTGGTGATGGGCTGTTTGGTCAGAGCTCTCTTGTTGAATTTCCCTTCTCTTCTGAGTAGCTCAGGAACTCAGCATTGGTCTAGAAGCCCTAGTCTGGTGCCAACATACATTGAGGAGCCAGCATTTCCATTGCACCAAATGAGCTTGGGAAGCTTCAGTTCCAGCTGCGTGCCAGGTGCACAGCAGCCTGGGGGCAGTGACCAGCTCTCACTCCTCCACCCTCACGCCCACGCGGCCCCAAGATGGGACCATTTCTAGAGAAAGCAATTTCCCAATCTTCCTAGGAGCACAGTTAAAATTACTTCCTGAAGTTCAATTTGCGTCTTCCTGCAGCATCACCAGAGAGTTTATTTTCTTCTTTCCTAGCCTTGGAGAGACGCAGGAGCCAGACACCTGATATTGAATAGAAGCCCTTCCGACAACCAGAGGCTCAAGGAAGAAGCAGAATTCTGATTCTTTTGGGTTAAGTAGTTTTAAAGATAATACTAGGTCTGGCTCTGGTTTGGACTGGCTTACTTTTTATTACAAGGGTTCTGGGAGATCTTTTGATTTAATTTAAATGTTAGACTAAAAATTTAAATCTATGTAGACATGTAGACAGATAGAAAATCTTATTTATGCAACTTAGAGCAAAAAAACTTTTCTAGTTCTCAATTCCTTCATTGGTAAAATGGAGATGATGATCGTGTCTATTTCATAGAGATTTTTGTGGGAGATTTTGTTAGAAAATGGATGTGTGGTTCCAGGTCAAAACCTGCAATGTAAGACTCAATAATGATGGCTATTATTATTATTACCATCTAGTTGAGCCTCTTCTACTTGCATGCTGAGTTGATCTCATTCTCAGAGCCTCAATTCCTAGTCTATCAAGCAGGAAGACTAACATTCGATGATGAATATAGAATGGGTTGGAAAAGGAGACCTTGGAGGACTCTGAAGACTAGCACGATGAAGCACTAGCATGGAGTACTGTGTCCTGAGACCGGCATATTGTACAAGAGAAAGGAAACTCACATTTTCCTACTGCATTTTGGTCTATTGTTAAAACCCCAGCCTACTTTATTCTGGTTTTCCATTCACCCCTACATTAGTCAGGACTTCTTGTCTGTGGGATTCACGGAATAGCCCAGGAGCTCTGGGTTGGCCTTGACCTCCCTGGTGCGATAGCGTTGTCCATTGAAGAGGTACCAGGTGTTGTCATCATATTGGAGGAACTTGTTCAGCTGCAGGCCCAGCTTCTTGACATAGGTGTGGACCAGCCTGGAGCAGATACAGGCGTCACATGGCACCTCATTCCTGCTGGCCTCACAATAGAAGCCGTTTCCAGGAAAACTTCTTTCTTCCTATGCCCAAGGAGCTCACACTAACTGCTTCCTCATCTCTGACCTTGTTTCCTCTTGCTGCCACATTAACTCTTTTCCTTCTGTTTTTGCCCCGAGGGAGAAAGGGAGTAGGGAGTTCATCCGTTAGTGGGTGAAGGCCCTTTAGGAAATTCCAGCCCATAGGACTCAAATATAGAGACAGAGGCCTTTTGTTTCAGATAGTATTTGAAACTGCATTTTCCATTTCTAAGTAAATTTGAGGCCAAATCTAAAGACTCCTACTTTGGGCTGGTTCCATTGGTTTTTGTTTTTGTTTTTGGTGGTGTTTGGAGGGAAATCTTGGGTTCAGTTTACACTTAAAGCAAAAAAAAAAAAAAAAA